CAAAAGGACAAATATTGCATGGTGCCACTGTTGTAAAATGGAACTGATATCAGGGTTGGGGTAAGACTGAGAAAAACTGGATAAATTGTGTATACTGCACTGAAACATAAGCGGGAGAGAATAATTTAAAAACGATGTACGATAGAGTATTATGGTTATCACAGGAATCCACAATTGAGGTTGCATAATGGAATGTACTTGGGGCAGTGGGAGGAGTGCGGGGGGGGGGAGTGTTTCTTTTACTTTTCAAAGTGAGGAGGAGCGAACTGAGTGGGGGGTGGGGTGAGGGCTGAGCGGGGAGAGAAGTGCAGCAATGAATGAAAAACCAAAATCTGTACATGTTCATTAAAATTATTAAAAACAATTAAAAAAAAGAAAAAGATGAGCAGTCTCCTTCTGTGTGATTTACTGCCTTTGAAAATTTGCTGAAGCATCAGCGATGGGTCGGTTCTGACTTGATGGTAGACAACAACAACAATTCTGGGGGGGCAGATACAAAATTATTTTCCTCCCTCTGACTGAGATTTCCTTCCTTTTAGGATCTTCACCGCACAGGCTGCAGTTCTTACTGTGGGCAGGAGGCTGAGCAAGACAGGGTTGTCTTGAAGCGGGTCCTTCTGGCCTATGCCCGATGGAACAAGAATGTCGGGTACTGCCAAGGCTTTAACATCCTGGCTGCCCTGATTCTGGAGGTGATGGAAGGCAATGAAGGGGATGCCCTGAAAGTGAGTATCAGGCTCTGAAGATGGCAACTGACCAAAGTGGAAAGACAGTTTTTAAAAAAATCAATCAGACTGTTTTTTAGAACTATAGAGAGAAGAATTAAGTGATAACTATTTCTACTTTATGTCCCCCCTTTTCATGGTGTGAGCCACACCTGTGCAGGTACTCATGCTAGCGGTTTCCTGGGTTAAAGTGAGGTTAAAGGAAAGATTTAACAGAGCTGCCAAATATGAGAGCAATGATTCTATTTTAATTCTTTCTAGAAGTCTTGACTTTTAAAGCAAATGTAGTACCAATTGTGTTAGCAAGCCATTGCTGTGTAACAAAACTAGCTGCCTGAAACAGCCAACATTTATTGTTTCACAGTTTCTTTGAGGCAAGCATCAGCCTAACTTTGCTGGGCGCTTCTGACTCCACACTCCTCAGGTGGTTTCATTCAAACTTTTGGCTGGGGCTGCAGTTTCATCTGAAGACTTGACTGGAGGGAGCACTTGCTTTTAAATTGATTCATGTGGTAGTTGGCAAGATTCAGTTCTTTGAAGTTTGTTGGACAAAGGGCCTCAGTTCCTCACTGGTTGTTGGCTGGAGGCCTCCCTCAGATTCTTTATATCTCATGGCAGTGTGACTTACTTTAGTGAGTGAGGAAGAACCTATAAGACAGTGAGCAAGGGGGAAGTGATTCACCTTTAGATTTTTAACCTAATCGTGGAAATAACATGCTATCATTTTTTGCTACATTCTATCCATTAGAAGCTAATCATCTTTAGTGACTTCCAGAAGTTGGGAACACTGAGGGCTATCTTAAAAACTGCCTATCACACCAGTAAAGTTAATTCTGGATCTTACTAAATTGTTTTATTCTTTCATGTTTGAGTCATAATATGGAGGAGATAGGATTAGAGGGAATGCTTAAGATGAAAAATTGTTTACCTAGAGAAAGGCTATAGAAATGAGTTATCCATATCATCTTTTTAATCTTTGACATTCAGAATCTTTAGTAGTAATAAAATAAAATCTGGTAACACCTGGAGATGGGATATAAGCCATTTAAGCTTATCAGGTTGAATTGGAGTCAGTAAGTCACCAGAAATCTAGTCTTTGTGTGAACTGAAGCATTTCAAATGTGGAGAATAGCTGTTGCCTGGTTTGCTTAGGGTGCTGTGGGTTTACTGATTTCAAACGTAAACCTTTGAACTGCAGTTGATTGCAGTGCTTTATGATGTATGAAATGGATACTTAAGGCTTTCTGTTTGAACAAGAGGGTTTGAATGTGGTGAATACCCTAGTGATAATCTCAATTGCTGACTGATGTGATATGGAAAAATAAACAAATGTTCCTTCTGGTTTTATGCACATTATGGCAGAATTAATTATAATTCCAGCCTAACAGGATTTAAATTTGGATTCAGCCTCTCCCTTTTTACACTCACGTATCTAAGGAAACATCTTGGGAGGTAATTGTTCATCAAATGGAAGAAAGGAAAAAGGAAATGGCAATTTAAAGATATGAATTTAAAAGATTTTCTTTTAGGAAGCTTTTTTCTTCCTGAATCTCTCATCTTTAGTTATGTCATTGCAGATGTAATTTGTCTGACTATGAGATGGGAGCTCTGGTGGCCTAGTGGTAAGAAACTCGCTGCAGTCTTGAAGGAACGTGGTTTGAATTCACTAGCTGCTTTGTAGGAAAAGGATGGATAATCACCTCCCATGCGACTTACTGCCTCTAAAAACTCGCTGGGGGATCAGCTATGGGTTGGTTCCTACTGGATGGCATTCAACAATAACAATCAGATCAGGGTTAAAGGTGGTGGTGAGGTTTGGGAAAAGAGAGAGGCATGCCAATAGAGTTATAAGAAAGTTCAGCAAGTACTTGAGAAACTACAAATTCACATAAAAAGATAAAGCTAAGAACTGCATGTTTTTATTTCTGCCTGCAAGAAAACTTCTGCCCTGTGAATTGAGATGCCCTCCTCATCATTTTATGTAGGTCTTGTTATTAGACATTTGATATTCAGAGGAAAATTGGGTTCATAAGGAAACACTCCTGATGCAAAGGAAAGAGTTGGGAATTGGTGTTTTTCTAGAAGCTATTTAGTACCTATTTTGGGAGTACTTGATTCAAGCTCTGGTATTTTCAGTTGCTTCCTATGCATCTGACAGTGAATAAGGAAGGCGAATCCTTGCCTTTGAGTTGTTGGTGAACAGTATTGACTGTATCATAAACTGCTAAAACAAGTGCAACCAGGACGCTCTTTAGAGGCAAAAATGGTGAAACCTTGTCTCTTATACTTAGTCATGTTGTTAGGGGAGGCCAGTCCTTAGAAAGGGATATAATGCTGAGAAAGGTCAGCTGTTGTTGTTGTTGTTATGAGCCGAGTCATTTCCGACTCATAGCGACCCTATGCACAACAGCCCTAAACCCTGCTCTATCCTGCGCCAACCACACCACCTCTGACACACCCATCCTGATTACCCCAGT